AGGTCAAGTGGGTATTATCTGCAAGTGTGGGTGTTCTTGTGCATAAGCCCTCTCTTAACAGCTGGATGCTTCACTCTCCACTCTAGTCCTCTGTGGCTATGTCATTGACTCTGGGCCCAAGAGTCCCCAGGTCTTGCCACACTGATGGCCAGCCAGGTCTCTACCTGGGTTCACAGGAGTCTATTGAATGTTGTAGGGCCTAATTCACAGCTTCATTGCTGTTTTTCCCTCACTTCGCCTTAGCCATGAAGAACATGGTCACCAGTCAGAGCAAATATTCCCATTGAGTCTTAGTCTTGGAAGGAGGTTTTCCCTGAGGGGATTCGGCCACTTGCATTGATGTCTTCTGGGCGAGCAACTTGCTTGTTCTTACAGTAATCAGTTGGACTGCCTTTATTTTATATTTTTCCTGTCAGTCTTTCTTTCAAGAAGTGTCTTCTATTCTTCTAGCTGTTCCAGGCTGATCTGCTTGTCCTTTCAAGTGGAAATTTCCCATCTCTGAAGATTCTGATGGGGTTCGGGATTCCACCTATGGTCTTATGTAATGCAGAGGCTCCACAGGAAGCCTCCTTCACTGGGCACGGTGCAGCCCCATTTTAGGTATTCCAATCAGTTATAGGCAGAAGACGGACTTAACAAGCTTCCTATGGTGATATTTCTGGCTATTCCTTTCTCTCCCCCTCCAGTGTCTATTTTTTAATGGTATGCCAGGGAAACCAAGATTTAAAAGACAGCCAAGCATCTTAACGTTATTTCCCCCCTTTTGCCCATTCTAACTAAGTTTCAATTCCTGTATCCCTGAGCCCTGTTGTGCCAGGGTTGTGCATAATTAATTGTTTACCTCTGTCCCACTTAGCCCATGCAAACATGCCTAATTGTTTTTTCTCGTCTGCTTTGTTCTTCCATTCCCCTCTCCCTTCTTGTGTATTGCCCCCCTCCACAGCAACCAAACTATCCTGTGTCTATTCCCTACCCTGTGCTCCACCTTCCTTCCCTCCCCTCATCCTACTCCCCAGCAACCAGCAAAGAATCCCTCCCCCCCTTTAGTATGGGTTCTTTTTCTTAGTCTTTTACAGTAGTGATCCTATGCAGTATTTCTCCTTTGTGACTGATTAATTTCACTCTACATAATGTCCTCAAGGTTCATCCATGTTATGTGGTGGCTTGCAGCTT